AACTTCGATGTCAATTTGTCACAATTAAGTGCTTTTATAGCTGCATATTAATCAGAAAAGAAAGGTTTTGCAAGCAAATTAATGGAAAATCGATGAGCCATTATGCTGCTTCTTTGACTGCTGTAAATTCAGATTGAAAATGCTGTAGAGATCTGGCAGATGAAAACTAAGGCTTAGATAGAGTTCTTGCCCACTTCCTACACTCAGATCTAACTTAGAGAAATCAGTGAAGATGACTGATGCAACAGAAAAAGAGATCATGACTGGATCTGCCTTCCATTCATCACTTGAGGGGATCCTCGTTTGAAAATGTTTCTCAGTCCAATGGGCGGGGCTACGTAGTCCAGACGCCTGAAGTCTGCTGGAAGATTTTCTAGAATTCTACAGTGCCTGGACCTCCTGTTACTTCACTTGATGAGGGCATTTAGCCTAATAGCATTACAACTTGCTTGTAGTTTAACGTATAACTCCGCAAATAAAAAGTAAAGCAAATTCTCTATGGCTTACTTTGGCATTGAGAGTAACGCCCCCGTGATCATCACGCGCGAGACCCTTCGAACTTTTGTTAGTTTATATATATATATTTAGGTTTTTATTGTAGATTTATCCATGGATGGCCTCCAGACCGTGATGCCGTAATGCAGAATGGGACACAACGCCACTATGTGCATCCAGCTCACAATGTGAGGCTTAAAGCCTAATTTTTCCCCTTTTGCTGATTTAAGCTACTTAGTGTGGGACTGCCTTCAGATTTGTATACTCATTGCAACCAGGAACACAGCGAAGTCATGAAGTGGAAAATATTCTCGATATGAATAGGGCTGCGGATTCATTGGCCCAATACCCTTCAAGGGTCTGCCAATAGGGGCAGATAAGATGAATAAATAATTCGTCTTGGAAACATCGACAAGTAAACGTGAAATAAGATTTATAACAACCAGCATTTCTTTCTAAAAACAAGTAATGAAGCACTTGTCAAACCTGGAAATTTTTTGCTCCGACCAATTTGGGTTGAGTCACGAGGAAAACGAAGTAGCAGAGCACACTTCTGGCAGCTGTAAAGCCGTCACTAGACCCTATTTATGTTCAAATAAATAAATTTGATTTCAGCCTTTTGTGGAAGATAAATATACGGTCTTTGAATATTTACTTTTTGCACACGGTAACAAAAATGACAAATATTGAATTAATACACATTCGAAGAAAGTGCGCTATATGTATACTCGAGTTATTGGATTACAAATTGAATTTCCATCAGAATGTCAATATTTTGCCTACCTTAAAAAATTTATAACAAATAGGAAAAACTTAAAAGATTTTTATACGTCGAAAATTTTGTGAAAATCTGATCATGTATAGCCCTTTAAACCTAATTTATTTTTCAATTAAATTCCCAAATGAATTAAATTTTTCAAATAGGTAGCAACCCTGTTCAAAAATATTTTCGACAGTAAACTTTTTAAACGTCTTAAGTTTGATATTCATATTCAATTAAATTTTTCAAAGAGCTGGCAACCCTCCTTACAAACATTTTCGGCTGTAAGGCTCCTTAAACTTCTCTTTTTCGATAACCATATTGCAATATTAACATTAACTTATCCATTTACTAAAACTGAAATTTACGAAAAGGTGGCTATTTTGCACAAAAACATTTTTGGCTGCGGCGTTCTTAAATCTATTTACTTTTATACCCCCATTGTAAAATTTAATTTCTCTTATCAACTTAATTAAACAAAATTTTTCAAACAGGTGGCAACCCTTCATAAAAAGAATTTCGGCTGTAAGCCTTCCTAAGTCTATCTCATCAATTTACTTGAAGTAAAATTTTCGAAGAGGGGCAATTTTTTAAGTTGTTTCCTTTTAAACTAACCTGGTTTTATATCGAGCAAACCAAAAAGAAATATACTTAATTCAAGCCAGTCAAGCTGTTTTCGAGGTTATTGCCTGCAGAACAAACATATTTATTTATATACAGGTTTTATGTGCTATACTTTTCAACCGATTTGACCGTTTGCCCTGACTGTTTCTGTGTACTTCCTTTAAAATTTCACTTAAATCAGTCCAGAAAGTTTTACGCGATGAGCGCACAAAAATTGGCAAAAAAAATATTATATAGACATACATATATATGTACATAGGTTTATATATATTTTTTTTCTTTACTGTTGAATGAATTGGGAAAATGGATTTTAAAATTAACAAAAAAGCCCATATGCGAAAAATTCATAAAAGCCGCAAAACTTGCTTATTTTTGGACAATTTAATTTAAATTGACAAAAAAAACCTTGCGTGCTGAAGAATTTTCCTGGCCAGATTCATCAAAAAAAAATTACAGAATCACTGCTAGCCGCTCTTGAAACTAGAAGGAAATTAGATTTCGCAGGCATATGCAATTAATGAGTGTGACGTGTCTGAACATTTTAACTGATATAAATAGAACCTAAATATTTGGTTACCACGTATTTAAAACTTAATAAATAATATCAAAAAAAAACTTTTTAATATACAACGCTTTTATAAATGGACTAAAAAGTAGAAAATAATATTTCTCAGTCCCATAGAATTTGTTTTGATAACTTTTGATTTTGAAATTTTAGCAAAAGTCATTATAAACAATCTATGAAATTGAAAATGAAAAACGTCCAGCGCATGCAATACAAAGCATTCGATTTAATTGACAATAGTCAAACTACATAACGTAGACCAAAAATTTCTACAGCGAAAGTAGAACTTTGAAATCGATTTTAAGCGGTCGTTATTCATATACCCACATACATACATACATATATTACTTTTCATATCAATTCAAGTGTATTACATGCGCCCCACGCTTTTCATTTTCAATTTCATAGATTGTTTATAATGACTTTTGCTAAAATTTCAAAATCAAAAGTTATCAAAACAAATTCTATGGGACTGAGAAATATTATTTTCTACTTTTTAGTCCATTTATAAAAGCGTTGTATATTAAAAAGTTTTTTTTATATTATTTATTTTCTACTTTTTAGTCCTGTCTGAATAAAATTTTGCAATAGATATTAAAATAATTCAACGATATTAATAGAAAGCTGCACACACATGCATTTACATATGTATGTACATACAAACGAGCACCAATTAATTTTATTTAAAGAAATGGCGTGTCGTCTATTTCCGCTGTAACAAACGTAGTACATAGGGCGACATCTAGATGTCATCTACCTCGCGCTATTCACTACAGCTATCGCCCTATGCACTATGCTTTTTTATAGGAACTTTTCAAAGCTTTGCTTTGGTGTCGGACACACAACATTGAAAGTTTCTGGATCCACAACATTGAAAGTTTCTGGACCCACAACATTGCAAGTTGATAAAAGTGTTGTAAAAAGCAATACAAAACATACTACTTATTGTATAAAAAGTTTAACTAAAAAATAATAATTTATTAATATTTTTTTTTCAATTGTCTGCATTATAGTTGTAATGCGGACACATACTGACCCACATTTTCTGGCTAATTTTATGCAGACTTGATGATCAGCACAGCACCACATAGAAGATCTGCAAGCGCGCCAACCAATGAACGAGCGAGTTGTCGCATGCATACAAATTAGTTTTTGCTCGAGAATCCATTTTTAAGCAAACCACGCACGTACACGCCACATAGTTACCAACAGCACATGGCATGCATACATTCATATGTTTGGATATGTGTATACCTTTATATACTACAGGTACATATATAGTTGTATACAATATTAGCGCATGTACAGTTACTCACATAGATAACGCAGATCAAATTTCTACGAGCTGACAATTGTCAATGAAATTTATAACATGCAACAGCTGCAGCTACTGTAGCAATTTGCGAATATAATACAATGTATGCGTGCTGCAGGCGATTTACAAAAACGCAGACGGCTTGCAATAACAATTGAAATTACAATTTTCCTCTAGAAATATTGCACGCATGCAAGCGACTACATAGCAGTTGTAACTGATCCGTAATACAACTCATAAACATAATGTGCAATGGTGCAGCTATAGAAACACAACCACAATAGCAGCAAGAAAAAAACAATTGCCAAAGGAAAAGTCAAGAAATCAATTCGCCAAATATGTATGTATGTACATATGTATGTACAACGGCCTACATATATTGACGTACTGCTGCATTGACTGCATGCCTAGCATCACTGGCCATCTGTGGCTCTGTCTGCTCAACTGACTCGTGCCACAATCTACGCGAATGCTATGCTCATTATTATTTTTATTATTAGTGCATGACAGGATACAAAGAAGCGTACAAGCACACAATCGTTACAGTTGTAAACGATCGATCGACGTACAGACTGAAGCGACTTACTTGCTAAGCAAAGGGAGGGCGGGGAGTAGCATCTATTAACAAAATCTGCAAAAACTACGAAAAACGGCAGCAGCAGCAGCAGTAACAGCAGAAGTTGGTAGCAACAGCAGCAGTGTGACTGCTTGTTCAACAGTTCTGCTTAGTTACTTTGGCTGTTGGTCGCCTGCTTGGCGTCATGTTTCACAAAAACGTGCCACAATGATGCGTGATCGAACTGGCAATTGGCAGTGAAGATGTTTTGATTTTATGAAAATCAGAATTCGTAATGCGTAGCCGAGTTGTGTTTGTTTGAGTGCTTTTTTTTTAATACATAAATTCAGTATATAAATAAATAACTGTAATAAATAAAGCGAGAACAATAAATGAGCTGTGAAAGATGTTGTACATCAAGTATATAAGTAAATACAGTGTGTATATATTAATGTACATATTATTTTTTGTATGCAGTGTTGCTTTCGTTAATCAATTTACGATATTGCGGCCGCTGAGAAAGTTACATTCAAAGGACTCTAATCCTGCTATGGAAATATGTATATATTCATGTTATGTAAGGAACTAAAATTTGACTTGCTTTTACTTTAAATAGACATATTTTTTATATCCGCGCGTTATTCAATTTCAAAAGAAATAAATCGTTTCAAACTCAAGTACTTACTCGCAATTGAAATACGCTGGCATTACGAGTACTTTTGTTCCTACAACACTGTATTGTTTAATAACTTTTGCTTCAATGACTGTGGAGTACTCCTCAATTATTTACACAGTTTCTTCTTCAGCTTCTCGTAGCAGTGGCTTTTATATTGAAGTTTCATCTGAAATAAATATAAAGAAAGAGTGAAATTAGAGTTGTGTAGATACGCATTTAACGAGCAGTTTTGAACTACAATATCTTAAGAAGACAATTAGTAAGGCTGTAAGGTAGCAGCAACCACCACTTCCTTATTTCACTCCCAAATATGTAACTTTGCGTTATTTTAAAATACATAAGTATGAATATTCTTAACGAAAATTTTCGAACCAACCAATGTACTATGGATAATTGATCAGTTTATGTGGCCAAAAGTCGCTTTTCGTATTTACAAAAAAAAAACTTTTTATCCTTGATATTTGATAAAGAAAACTTCAAACCAAATAACAGTACCTTTTGTTTTTGACTATCAAAGACATGCAAAATGAAGATTGTTGAGTTCAATCTGTCCATTTCATGTTGCAATTTTTTGCGTTTTCTGAGAAATAGCTGTTTTTGTAGGTATTATTCTATATTTAATATAAATATTTAGAAAAAAAACTGAATTTAAACTTCTTCAATAAAACCGCAAATTAAAAAGTTACCGCTTTTGACCCATCGGTCGTCAAGGGTTAATACGTTTTTTTTCCTGCAAAAATGTGGGAAATCGTATACCAATAACTAAAAAAATCATGTTCTTTTAAATAATGTACTTGTTTGATCATAAATAACTTTGGCAACAAAAATTGGTCAAATTACCCATAAGGCAATGATTTCGATGAACTTTTCTTTTAACATATAACCAAGGGAAATTAAAATTAGAAACATTTTCGAAAATTCAATATTTCACATTTTTCCGAATTTCGGAAGTTTATTTTTTGAATATCTGAAAAACTAGTATGACTACGAAAATTGTATCCAATAAATTAAAAAATTACAGAATTTGGATAAATTTTTTACTCAATATTTTCTACAATACCAATAAAAAGATGCCGAAATTTTCAGGAAGTTGCTTTTTAAGATATTAATTTTTGATCTTGAAAAAAAAATTTTAACTCCGAGTAAAAATATAGTTAAATTAAATAAAAAATTTTTAACAAAATTTTATTGATAGTTTCCAAAAAAACAAAAAACAGAATAAAAGTTCAAAATCTCTTCTTAAAAACACCTGGAAAATTTAAGATCAGTTGTAGGTACATATCTATTGTATAAAAAATTAAGCGAAACATTTTCTGTAAATTTATTCTTTTAAGATTTTTTAATTTCGAAATTCTGTAAATTTTTCTTTGTAGCCCTAAATATCCGCTTTATAATGAGGCCAGAACCATTTTGTAATTACATTTAATTTAATAGTTTTTGGGGTATTCACAAAGTAAACTTGCGAAAACCCGGAAATTACGAATATTTGAATTTTGTACAACTTTAAAAAAAAAAAACTTGAAATTTTTTTCCTTTCGAAGAACATGCATTCATAACAAAAATGGTCAATTCCAACCAATGCATTGCTCAATTTCTTATGGAATAACCTATATAACTATTGCAAGAATCAATTTAGTGTCGAAATTTGGTAAACCGAGCAGTTTAAGCAATTTAAGTAAAAAGGATTTTAATTATTTTAATTTTATATGGAAATTGTCAGAGAACGAAAAATAGTTTTCGATTTAAATTGCTGGTGGAACCGATTATAAGTAATAATTATTTGATGTTTCAAATTTTAAAGATTAATTGAGCTAAGATATAACAAAATCCTTTTGGAATCTGACTACCACGTACGTTAGAGCTTAAACAGACGGCAGGGTTCATCCGGATCAATTCGGGAATTAACTGCAGTTGATCCGGATTTAGTCCCAGTTAATCCCGATCAACGCTTCCGTCTGTTTAAGCTTTTACGCATAGTCCCTAAGTATGACAATTATAGATATTTCATTTTGCACCTCATTTTGTTCGCACTATATTCTTGACTTTTACGTACATAATTATGTACATATGTATGTATAAGGTTAGATAAAATTACAAGTATTAAGCGATTCACTTATGTATGTAAAAAGCATACTAGTATTTACCGCAATAATAAGCTACTAGCGAATAGCAAACTCTGACGCACTCAAATTCAACTGATTATTGTTGATTTTTTCGTAGCCACAACTAACAAGCGTAATCAAACAATCAGCTAATACAAATAAAAAACAATTAACTCGTTACATTCATATACATTCGAAACAAAATTGAGCTAACGTTCGTACTAAAAACTTAGTAACAAGACCTAAAATACGCGCACATAGCTGACGAGAGTGCAAACAAAAATCGTGACTAATTTTCTCGATATCATGACTTTCTCAATAACACAAATAATTATAAAAACAATACAAACGAGAAAAAAAATATTTAAACTGAAATACGAAAAAGTGAAATGGACTGCTTATTGCAAGTCTCAGCCGAACTGCGCACTTGCTTGCCATTTCGAGCGTACATAGTCTGAATAATAGTGCGGACAAAAAAAAACCTAGCAAAAAATCAATTTTAAATCTCAAGCAGTTTTCATGTACTAACATTTAGCATTTTTTTTACAGGGCGTGCATACTCACTAACAGGTAAATGGGCATCAAAACTACAGCCCGGATAGACAAGGGTCAATTTTAAATTTGTTGCTGTCCAAACTAATTTGTTGTTACTTTGCTCTTTGGCTTTTGTACAACTTGTTGGACAAGTTGTTTTCGCATTTACTTTAATGTATTTTTTTAAATTTCCTTTTTACGTTTGTTGTTGCTGTTTTGCTACAATTACGAGACAGAGCATTTTAGAAGTAAAAGTGCTAAGGTTGAAAAAGTAGTAAGCGTGTATAACAAAATTATTTGTGAAAATCTATTTTTATTATTTTAGAAAGAAATACGCAAAAGCACTACATAGCAGAGCGAAACACTTCACCAACTAAATACATACATATATGCAGCCATCTACTCAGTCAATTAGCTAGTCTGTCGCCTATTTGACTATTCACTCAGCCGTGTTTTTATTCGTTTATTTCCTTTTTCTCCAAACAATCACTTAAATTAATGCGAGGAGCGTGTGATCTGTTTAGTTTAATATTTTTCTATTTCGCCTTTCACACAATATGCTCGCATAGTGTTGTAGTGGCGTAAGCATATGTACATAAATGTGTGGCCTTCCAATTAACCCAAGCCATCTTATCGTGGCTTTTACATAGATTCCCAGCGAATTAATTGAAAAGTCATGAAGCACCTGTGCGAAAGGGTAAAACTCAAGCTATGTAGTTGCTATGTAGCTGAACTGTTCGGATTACCTATAACTATAAAATAAGGCCGCTTTTAAGGCTTCTGCTGACTGTTGCCCGTAGGTTTGCCCCTGTAAGTGCTAATGAAGTTTGCTGCTTAAGTTTTTGGTTTCTCAATTTCAACAAACACGTGACGTGTGTTTTGCTTAGTTGAATTTAATGAAGCCTAATTAAAAAGTCATGGAATTTAATTTTTCGACACTACTACTACTTTTAAGATGTAGTTTTGCAAAAGCTCGTACTAATCAGTAAAAGTTATGGCAATTCGATCTTAGTATCCTCTTACTACCTTCCTTGTAATAGACAAAATCATAGAGAGGCTATTGAAGCCAATCGGTTTTTCCAGACTACTATCGCACAGGCAACATCTCTAAGGCGACAGCAAAGCAGTCGGGTGGTTCTACTTGAAAGTCTAGACGTAAGCAAAGCGTTCAATATTGCAAAGCCGACAAATATGTATAATAGAGGCACTGGAGAAACATTTTCCAATTCCTCTAAATTCCAAATTCTAAAGCTAAGCATAGTAATGTCAGATACCACTTCTTTCGTGAGATACGCGAATTGCAAACTACTATGTCCGAAGTAGAACTTGTGGCAGAGTGCGCCTGGAGAATGGCATTCACGGCGCAGAATTCAGAATTCAGAAAATACAAAATGGCATACATAAAGATGAATGCATATCAGACGACGCAGAGCACACCTCCTTAGAACTCTCGCGACAGCAGCAAGCGCAGCGCAACCTTACTTAAGTATATTGCAGGTCCAATTAGAGCTGACGATATTTTAGAAAAAAACTGGCTAGTGAAGAGAACTGGCTAGTAACAAACAACTACTACTTAAGAAATTGTGTTCCGCGCAAAAAAGCGGGGTCTAAACGCAGTTGCAGTTAATAAGAAATATGGAACGCCATCCCGCAGTATTACTGGTAGAGGTCCGAGGGTGGACGGTTCCTAACCTGTGGAAGGGGAAGAGGGGGTATGGTATTTTAGTCGGCCGACATAACACTGGGGGCGAGAGAATGGGAATTTTTAATCACCTGACAGCGGTTTTTTTATTGAATTTTTTCTTTATTCTTTTAAATTTTAAATAATTTATTTTATACAACTTTATTTCATTTTTATATCAGTTCATTTTTTTATTTTATGTTCTATTTAAATTTTTTATAGTCAGAATTTTTCAAATCAGCACACAAACAAATTTTTTGTTTAATTTTATTTTACATATTTTAATCTACATTTATTTCTTTAAATTTTTCGTTTAATCTCAATTATAATTTAAACCTTTTTATTTTAACTGTATTTAATTTTTTTTTTGTTTTGCTTATTTGTTTCTCACTTTTCACTTTTCTTAATTTAGCGTTAGCGTTATCTTTCCTCTCATTTTATATATATCAATTGGTATTGTCTTACTATAATTTTAATTTTATTTTTTTGCTTTATTTCCTTGTTAACATTATTTTTCATTTTCTTTCACTTATTCCATTTTTGATAACTGAATTAAAATTTTCAGTTTTTTCATTCTATATTTTGTGCATTTTACTTTATTTTGTTTTATTTTATTTTATTTTATTTTATTTTATTTTATTTTATTTTATT